TGAATATGGATTATTTTGGTACTAAGAGATCAGTAAGGGCTGTCCCAAAGGGATGGGCCAGTTGGATAATAAAATTAAGACTGGTTTTAGACATCCTGAATTCCAAAATTATCTAGTCACTACCTTAGTATACAATTCCCAATTCACACTGTATGTTAAGGAAAGCCCAATATAAATGGCCATGACAATAATATTGTTCATGTTTACATAGTACTTTTGAGTGATTTCCTTACAATAAACCTGCAAAATATATATTGCAGTTGTTACCATCTTCATTTTATAGATAGGGAAACTGAGTCTCAAAAAAACTAAGTGAGTTGCCCAGGGTGACAACAAATGGTAATCAGCAGTCAGAGCCAGACTTTGAAATCCAGTCGGCTGGATTCTAAGACAAGTGCTCCTTATGTTATACTATGCTGCCCCCTACAGGTGAGAATAGTGAAGCTCAGGAAACATAAGTGATTTACCTGAGAGAACGATCCTATTTCAATCACAATAATACTGAATTATCTTAAATTGACCCCCATCTCTGTCAGCCCAGCAACAGAGCAAATTCAGGCTCAGAGAGTACTGAAGGCAAGAAGAATGAGGATGGAAAAAATAAAGAAAAGGTCCAATGAATTCTCAGTGCATTCCTGTAGCAGAACCCCAAAGACGAACTTCACCCCCTTAAAGTCAATGCAAGTTAGCCAACCCAGGGGATTGTGAAAACAAAGCAGAGGTGGCAAGGACTGGAAAAAAGGCAAAATTGCATGGGACCTAAAGACAGAGAAGAACTGATAGCAAGAAGCGCATTTACAGCAAGGACACCACCAAAAAATCATTAGGGAAACATAAAGACAAAAGCTGAATGAGGAAGGAAAAATGAACATTCAAAGAAAAACGTCCTCTCACAAGAAAGGCAACTGAGTAAAAAAAATTTTGACAAAGGTGAAGTATTACAATAAATTTTGCAAGACCTTGTGAAATGACAATAGTCACTCCAAAAGCCTCTAGAGTAGGTCAAAAGGACAACCAAAGAATTAAGTGAAAATGTGGACAGAAATCAGAACTCTTAAGGAAGAAGTATGAAAGCCTAGCCATGGAGAAACAGAGACAGAGAGACAAAAAGATGGAGAAACAGAGAGAGATGGAAGCAGAGAGAGAGAGAGAGAGAGAGAGAGAGAGAGAAACAGAGACAAAGAACACAGAGAGAGAGTGCTAGAGTAAGAGACAAAGAGAGACAGAGACATAAAACTATAGCACTGGAAAGCAAAAACGAAGAGGCATGAGGACAACTAAATTTAAAAATTAAATCAAAAGGCAAGATAAAAAAGAGAGATATAACAATTAAAAACCCTAAATTTGAAGATAGGTTGCAAAAAGATAAAGGATAAGTCTTCCAGAGGAAAAAAATATAAAAAAGAAAACCAAATAGCATACCTTCAAAAGATCATATAGGAAAATTACCTGGAAATACTGGAGTCAAATGGCAAAGTATAAGTTTAGGAGGAACGAGGCCAAGGGAGAGCTCAAAGTCAGGATTTGGAAAGACTGAATCAATAAGCTATATATAGATATAGATGCATACATCAACATATATAGATTATGTGTATATATGTATGCATGCGTATATGTACATATGACAAATATATGTGCATATATGTAAGTTATGAAGCAAATGGTTATGGATATATGTACATACACCTATATGCATATGTTCAAAAATACTTGTAAAACCTATATAATGACATGCAGACAAGTGAAATTCTTGAGTCCCTATCCAAGAGGACCCACCCATACCAATAACAAAACCTGTCATATCCAAAAAGCTCTACCTGCTTATCAAGACTAGCTTCTAGAGCACTCATCAAACATTGGGGCTCTGCAGTAAGGCTATCCCCCTTCCTGCTTTCTATAACTAAGGTTGACACAGGCACTTTCAATCATTAACACCATGTAGCTTAGCCAGTCCCTTAGGCCCAACTAGAAAGAAAGAATAATGTCTAAGACATACCACTCCTTGTTCTACCTCAGCACTTTACAAATACTACCTCATTTCATGCTCATAACAACCCTATGAGGTAGTTGCTATTGTTATCCCTATTTTACTATCCCTATCCCTATTATTTAATTCTCAGCTAAGGAAATTGAGTCAAACAAAAGTTAAGTCACTTACTCAAGGTCACATAGTACAAGGACAGTTAGCAATTTTTGCCATATTTATTGACCCACCACTTCCACTGGAGGGAAAGAACAATTCCTAGAAAGCAAAAATAAGATTCCTGGTATCACAGGAACTTCAGGAACTCTAATACCCACATTAATCTTATGTTTAGGACAAAATTTGAACTCAGATGTTCCTGACTCCAGACTCAGTGCTCTGTCCACTGCACCACCTAACAGGAAGTATGCTCATTCCTCTAGGAGCCTGAGTGCTCTATGAGGTCACCCTTGTTATACCTTGCTGTATACATAAACGGAATCTCATTGTTTTATTTCTATGATTGTTCATTTTAACAGCTGGTGTTTGCTTTGGAACATTTTGTGAAATAGAAGTGGCATATCCAATGAAAAAGAGGTCCAGCAGATAATAGAGATAAGGAGGAACAGGAGCTAGGTGCTTTTAGAAATACTCCATGGAGCTTTAATGGGTAAAAAAGATGGCTATTTTTTCATGATTATCATGTACAAACTTGCTGGCACTGATGTTTTGTGTAAGGATATGATTGTACCTTGCTTTAATTGTGAGCTATGAAATTTGCTACACGAGTTAGAAGCTCTTGGGTCTTTACATCTGATCTATTTTCTTTGATCTCACTTTGATCCAAGGTTAAGTGTGTTGATGCTGAGGAATCAGCAACCCATCATGTGAGGAGAAGCATTAGTTGAGCAAACAGGAGTGCATGAAAGCAGTTCTAGATGGTTTCACATTGCTAGGGATTCTAGAATGGCACCCTTGTAAAGGCAAGGGGAGGATCACGCTGACTTATCTGGCCCACTGCTCTCCTCTCCTTTTGAAGGAGAAGGCCTCTTCAGTTGGAGCAAGGGCCCAGGCAGTACATCCCTTGAATAATATAAAGTTCTGAGAAGTAACTGTTCCAAAATTTCTGACCATTCCCTGGGAGTGAAAAGAACTGAGAAAATCTGTTTCAAACAGCCTTGTGAGAGGTCAGCCTGTAACTCTAAGACCAAGGCCTCAAAGAAGTTTAATGTGTTATGGCAAAGCCCTTCTTCTCATTCTTGGAAAATCCCTCTGACCAATGTATGCCTTGTAATCTGTTTCAGGGTTTCAACATATCCTTTAAACCCACAATGAGGGGAATACAAGAATGGAAAATTCCTTTGTAACAATCAATCCTTTTCCTAATTGTTTTATGCATCATTGACATCTCTTATGTTTAAAGATGCTGGTGTGGTGTTCAGAGGTCATTAAACAGAAAACACAGGTGATCTTTAGTCCATGAACCAAGTCTGAAGACACCAAGGCCTTGTACTGAAATTCTAGGAACGTCTATCATGTTGTTGTTATTTGTCCTTCATTTACAGGTATACATTCACACACTCACACACATATATAAAACATTCTGCAAATCTCAAAGCACTATGTAAACAGTGGTAGTAGCAGTGGTAGTGATGGTGGTGGGGGTGGTAGTAGCACCCTTAGACCACAGAAGTGGCCCTGACCCATCCCACAGACACAAGACATCTCAGTGTGAGAAATATTAAAAGAAAGGCCCAAAGCAAATGTCAGCCTGTTTGCTGTACCTACATCTAGGTTGTCTTGGGCTGGAAATCTGTTTCATTCTGTCTTTGTGTGGGTTCTGCTGCTTTAGAATTTGTTCAGAGCCATTTTTTTACAGGTATTTGGAGGGATTTGGGGGAGAGCTCAAGCAAGTCACTGCTTTCACTCTGCCATCTTGGCTCCGCCAACTGCTGTACCTACATCTAAAGACTAATTAAAGAGAGTCAGAATCAATTTAAATCCAGAACTCCTTAGGAAAACTCTAGTCCATATTAACTGGTAACTAAATACCAATGAAGCTTCAATTGCTTTTCTTTTGCTTTCACCTCTAAACTGGTTTCCCCTGGGTCTTTAATCCACATTTTATTGCACTTGGAAACACAAAAGTGAAGAGTGTGAAGGCAAAGAAATAGAAGCTCTGCATTTTGACTTGCATGACTCCATTTCAGAAAAAGCTTCCACCTCAGTGTAGATTGCATACGCCCCAACATTTGAGTTTAGCCCTATTCTAGTTTGCTCTGCAAGGCTGAGCCTGAAGAAAGATAATTTGTCCTAAATAACCATAGCTGAGACAAATTGCTCTGCCCTCCTTATAAGGCTAACCTTATACAGAAAAAAACAAATAGCTTTGTCCTATCTGCAAGAATCATAGACAACATTCAAAATAACTTTTTTTTCCTTTAGAATATTAAAGTTTGCTCTGCGCTCTAGTTTGAGGGGGACTCTTCTGAAATTCTCCCCCAAAGTTATTTGCTTCCTAGGGGACAATCCTAGGAAGTTCTCCCTTTCCTTAGCTATGTGTCTCTGAATAAACCTTATCTGACCTGTTATTTCTAAATGTTTTATTGGGCTGTGTTTACCCTGACATTTTTAACATACTGAAGTTCAGAAAACAAACAATTTTTAAAAAAAAAGCTAACAAAAAAGTTTCCTTAGGAACAAAAATGTATTAGATTTATATTACTTATAACCATTAAGACACTTAAAAGGAAGGATAACAAGGAGGAGGAATTAACCTATTAACACATACAAAAATTCACAGGTTTATTTTTCTTCTCTCTGCTTCCATCACCTGTATTAATTTATGAGTGTAAGTATTACGAGAAGTAATATTCACATAAAGTGCTTTTAGCATAGGAAAGAAAAAATAATTTCTAAAGTGAAACTTTCTCATATACTAAATTATTCCTATTTGGAAAACAAATACAAACTTAACAAACCAGCATGCCTCTAAAAATGAAATTGTTTCTATTAGTCAATTCAACACAATACTTACCTTCACTAATAGCATGAGGTTTAATAATGCAGCAAGTACAGTTAGTAAATTTGGCAGTATTTACTGGCCCACCACTTCCACTTGAGGGAAAGAACAATTCCAATTCCTAAAAACAAAAATAAGATTCCTGATGTCACAGGTGTTCTATGAACTCTAATATTCACAATAATCTTGTGATATAAAAATGAACTTATTACTTTAAAAATATCACATTTGCTTCAAGGATTCTAGTAAATAAGCAATGATAGTAAAAAGATTAATTGAACAAATTGCAAATAATAAATGCAGCAGTCTATAAAAAGTAATAAATGTAGCAGTCTATAAAAAGTAATAAATGTAGCAGAGTCTATAAACTAATAATAACAAGAATATGAATTAACCTGGTACATGAATAAAGCATGACTTAGGGGTAACCTGACATGTTTTATAAATAATATGTTTTAGGACATGGGATAAGTCATCATGGATAGACACCTGGCCTTGGGGACAGCAATGCCTCCTGAGGCACAGATTCTGATGTGACCCTGGGCACATCATTTAAGTTCTCAGTTCCCAAACAACTCTCTAAGATTCAAAAATGGTCAACAGTTAGTAGTCTGAAATGGTAATGGGAGTCTCTTTACTGGGGAACTCTCAAAACTAAAGAAAAGAATGCATTTTAGGGAAAAAAAATCAACATGAGCTTCTAGTCTCCTTGGAGAACATAAGTGTATGAAGGTAGGAATTTCTGTGTGACCGTCAACAGAATCCACTGAAAAAATTAAAGCCAATCTGGGTATTCTATGGAATAAAATAATTAATCTTCAGAAATCCTTTCATAACACTTAGTTGTTTTTATTTTTTTAATTAGGGCAGGAGGCTGACCCAAATAGAGTGACTAAATTAAAACTCTGTAATAAAACGCTGTTATTTTGACTGCATTATTAGTTCTTTGGCCTAGGACATCAAACAGATCACACAGTGATCTGAATTGTCCAATAAGAAGGCTCAGGGACCATGCTAAGCTCTAATTCTTTGGGTCAGTTGCAAGTGGTTTTACATACTAATCAAGTAAAGTAAAAAATTGATTCATTTTCAAGAATGATCTACTTTTAAGAAAACCAAAAAGAGAAAAAGCAACTATCTATCAATATTAAATATTATACTGGTATCAATTTTAGTAAAACCACAATTCCTTTAGACTGCAATGAAAGGAGAATATCATATTCACAAATGCAAAGTCCTTCTAATAAACTGATTTAATATTATTCTTTTTTATTCCTGTGCATGGATAAGAAATATTAGATATCACTACTTCTTGTTAAAAATGATAAAAATTTCTCCTTTTATATATCATCTGAAAAGAGGAGAGATTGGGATACAGCAAGATACCACAGAAAGAGTGCTGGATTTAAAGTCAGAGAACCTGGGATCAGGCACCAGGCCCCCTGACTACTGATGTGACCTGCAACCTTGGACAAGTTATTTAATCTTGCTAGGTCTCAGTTTTCTCATTCTCTCACCCACCCCAGCCTAGCTGATGAAATTATAGGAAGAGTAAATAAGAGAAAAAGAAAACAAAGTGTTAAATGAAACGCAAAGAAGAGTTTTCACTTTGTTATCCCTTTACAAGGTGTAACGTTTTCCAGCATGTAACTAGCACAGCTAGCTATTGACTGACCAGGCACAGGCAATTTCACTGGATCCTCTAGGGGAGGGAAAAGGCACATTCTTCCTTTTGAGAAAGAATTGATAGAGTTAGCTCCAAGGAGTGTGGCCCCTGGCACTAGATAATGCAGCCAGCTACGGATTCAAGAGAGAATTAGCCCTGGAAGATAGATGTGAGTTACAGAAGGAAAGGGCAACGAGACCCTGTCGTGCTAGAGACATGAGTTACCTTGACCACATGTGAGGGAAGCTTCTATACCAAGCACATCCTACAAACTGATGAAATCATAGGTCTAGAGAACACACACACACAAATACTCCCAAGGCAGATATTTAAAAACCCTCTAAAGTTACTGGATACAAAATAGATTTAAATATAAACTAATATTTACTAATACTGAATGAGCTCACTATTCTGCACACAAATTCTTCCCCCAAGGGCAAGAATGTACTTGGGATTATTGTATTTTATATTGATAATCGCTTTCTAATATGGCATTTCTGACCATATTTGGCTAAATCCTCCCCACAAACTCCAGGAAACTCACTTCTTCTACCTATCACCTAATTCAGGGAAAGAGGAACAGGGCTATGCAGGAAAGTAATAATACTGTATATGCAGGTTAATTACATATAGTAGCTGTATTCATTGTAACCAAGCCATAGTTAAGGTGAAGATGTAGAATGATAATGAAAAATTTCACTGAGGAAAAAACTGGCATTCAACTTTCTCTACATTGCTATATTAAAATATTTATAGAGGACCAATGGGCAAAATTCAATAATTTCTCTCAATATGCCAATATTTTAAGAAATAGACTCTATTACCTGTAAAACTTGGTTTTTACAAGCATGTTTATTTTAAGAGGTTTTAAAAATAAAAAGCTTTCTTTAACAATAGATAAGCATCAATAATCAAAAGCATTGTTCTGTTCAAAGATATTTTTTAAGCATCCTTACCTTGGCAGCAGTAGCAAAAGAATCAGGACCATGAACTGTATTTCTTATGCCATCTGTTCCAAATCTTGCTCTAATGCTTGCAGGAAAATCTGTACGAGCCATACCAGGGTTTGCAGGTCCTATTAATTTCTTCCATTCGCTGATAGCATCATCTCCTAAAATCTCCATGGCAATGACAGGACTAATTGTAATAAACTGGATAAGCTCACTGAAAAACAGATTTTTTAGGAGTATATGTTAACCAATGTATCTGTCTTAACATGGAAAATTTATTAGATTGGAGGCACGCTGCAAAGTAAATTACCTATAAAAAAGTTACTGCAAATCATTTTATCATGGACACGGTAACATTTTATAATTCAGTAGTTGTGTGGTAGCCTAGCGCACCACATATTATTAGTATTGTCAGACCATTTAAGTGGCAGAAGCAAAATCGCTACGATAATAATGTATCTGTGTACAAAGTCATCATCAGATGTGTCTCTTGCTGTAAAAGGCAATAACTTGATTTGGCTTTAATGTCTCTAGTAACCTAAGATACAAACCAATTCAATTCAACAAGTGTTTGTTCATTTTTAAACTACATGCATAATGAACTATGGTAGTATTGGAAACATAAAGATAAAAAAAAATGACCCAGTCTCTGCTCTCAGGAAGATTACACGGTAACAAGATATGACATGTATATAAACAAATGTGAACACACACTATGATATCGATTCCATAGGCTACTATTTAGCACTACAATACCCCTACCAGAAGCCATAACTAGGACTTCAGTCCAAGCCAATCTGTTGGCCGTGACGTTGACATAGCCAGCATTAACAGGCATTCAGGCACCTGTCTATAAGATCCATCAAAGGAACCCCACTGTTAGCAGGTTATTCTCAGCTTTCCTTTGTTTCCTTAGAGCCTTGAAGTTCTGGGTTTTTTGGTTAAGTATGTAGAACACCTGGTCAACTGAGCAAGCCCAATCCTGAAGAGCTCAGTGATCTATCCTTAGTTCTGGCATCATGAAGTATAGTCTCCTAAACCTAGACAGTGGCAGCTTATAATTAGAAAGCCAAATGGATCACATTTCCTTTTGAAGATTCAAGTTTTTTTATGGAATCCCCAATGACATGGGTATATTGTAGAAAGCTAACGAATTCGGATATAATCTGGAATTTGGTAGGCCACCAATAGGTTGCTATCCCACATTAAGTAGTTTGTTTTTTATCTTAGAAGAAATAAGAAGCCACTGAAATCTTTTGATCAGGAAAATGACATGATCAGGGATAAGAACTAGGGATGAGAACTAGAAATGTGTTTTCATTGGTATTATGACCTCTAGGATGAGGAAACTCCCTTTACTAATGAGGGCTAGCATATTCTTTGCAACTTATCATCTTAGAGGGTTACTTAGAGTGCTGAAAGGTTAGGTATTATACCTACTGTCACATAGCCATGGGCAAGACTGAAGTCAGGTCTTCCTGGCTTCAAGGCCAGCTCTATTCACCATGCTGCCTCTCCATGACATGACCAGATCAGAGCAAAATAATCAGAAGATTTTTTCTGGCAAGTGAATGTAAGATACATTGGAGAGAAGAAAGATCCTCAAAGCAAAGAGGGGTCATTAGAACCATCCAGGCAAAAAGTGATGAGAACCTGAATCTGGGTGATCTTTGATTAGCACTTAGTTCTACGAGTCTCATTTGAATTATGTGTTAAACATCCAGAATCTATATAGGGAGGGGGAAAAAATAAAACAGATGCTATCTACTAAGTGGATATAAAATCCTTTGGAAGTATTATTTTGTGTAAGACAGCCTTCTCAAAAAAAAACACAATGCAGATTAAGATGAAAAAACATACAAAATAAAATCTCATTCTCACATTCTTCTGGAAGCAAGGAATTCTCAATAGGTATGAAGATTATACACTCCCAAAAAAGCTTATTTTTCTGAATATACAATAAATGCAGGGTGTAATGACTTGCATTTCAGGGATTTTTTTTACCTATCTCAAGGACTCAAAAAATGATTTTGGAAGTTTTATGTTAGTGCAACTGCACTCTCTTCATGTTATTCAAATGCCACAAATGAAGAACAAGCAATATGTAAAAATTTTAATAAGACAGCTCTATAGAAAGGACTCCCTTTATACAGAGCCAGCTCTCTATTTTAATACCTACTTATAGAATGGCTTTGATAGATGATCAACATAAAAATCTGTTGCTTCTTTCCTGTAACATAATAAAAATAATGGTTACTAAAACAAACATTGAAGTGACATTTTGTCACTTTTTGAAAGTGAAAATTTAATTTATCAATTAAATTTAGAAAACCATTGTCCATTCATATATATCCAATCTAATAAAACACTACCTTTGAGATTTTCCTCCAAATTCTCCAGGTCAAAAAACAAACACAAATCTCTAAGTCTGGGTCATTGCCATGGTAAGAGTTATTACAAATTAACTTGGTTTATTAAATTATTTTTATCTCCCAGTCACTGTTACTCTAGGTCCTCCTCTTTAAAATTCTCATCAAAGAAATCATTGAATAAACAAAAGTCTCACATTTGTCCACTAGTAATAATTTGTTCTCAAGAGCTCACCAAGTCTTTGAATTAGAGAGATGAATGATTTCAGGCGAATACAAATCTAAAATACAACTTACCAAAGCCTTCTTTGGAAGCTAAAGATTATATTACAATCTATTTTGATAGCTCTATCTGTGTGGTTCTCTTATGAATCCTTCTAAAATCAACCAACAAGCATTTAATATGCATGTACTATGTGCCCCACAATGTACTGGGTTCTGGGGATACAATGACAAAAATTAAGTGATTCCCTGCTCACGAGCTCACATTCTATGAGAAGAGCCAATCTGTACACATACAGGCATATACAAAATGGTGACAAAGTGAGTAAAAGTCAAATTCAGGGCAGGGGCAGAGACACAAGCAACTGGAGGGAGGTGGGAAGGTGGGACCAGAAAAGATCTCATACAGGAGGTAATGCCCGAGATCAAATTTGAAGACAGAGATTCTACAAGGCAGAGGTAAGGAAGGATCCCCAGTAAGCGGGACCAATGGCCATGCCCAGCAGCATCCAGTGGTTTTTAGAGAAGACAAATTAGCTTGAGAAGGCAGGAATGGCAAAAGGATCACAAAGGTTTAAAAAGTCAACTGTATAAGTACAGACTGGGGAAGATGTGCTAAGGCAGCAGGTTACATGAAAAAGATCTAGAGGTCATAGGTAACTACTCAGGTGTAATGGAAAGCTTAATGGATTTGGACTCTGAAGAGCTCAGTAGAAATCTTGGTTCTACAAACCATGCTTCTTGCCTTCTCTAAACCTGTACCTTATCTGCAAAATAAAAATATTTGCTCTATCTGCCTTACACAATTGTTATAAGGAAAGTTGTTTCCTAAACCACAAAGCAATATATAAATATGAAATATTACCATTGCTAACTGTAGACTCAATGAGTCAATGGTGTGATGTGAATGCTTAAAAAGTTAATGCAATCTTAGTCTACATTAAGACAAGGTTAATAGTTAGGAAATAATAATTCTAGCATCTAAAATTTACATAGCACTTACTATGTGCCAGGCACTGTACTAAATGCTTTTATCTTTATTTCCTTTGATCCTCACAACAACCCTGTGAGGTCGGTGCTATTATTATCCCCATTGTTCAGATGAGGAAACTGAGGCAAGTAGAGGTTAAGTGACCTGCCTCGGGTTCATACTGCTACTAAGTATCAGAGGCCAGATTTGAACTGCCAGCACTCTCTCTACTGCAGGACCATGGATAAGAGCACACCTGGGCTGTTAGGGTTAGCTCTGGGTGCCCCCTTCCCTTTTTATTGATAGCACTAACAAATCAGAGCACATCCAAATAAAGGTGACCAAGATCTTGAGCAAACAAGAAACCAGATCATTTGAGGACACAAAGAATGGAACTGAGAAGTCCAGCCTATACCTAAGTAAGAACCCCCGTACACCATTCCAAGTAAAGGGTCATTCAGCATTCCCTTGAAGACTTCTAATGAAAAGGACTTCACGGCCTCCTCAGGGAGCTCACTTTTAGATAACACTAATGATTAGGAAGTTCTTCTTCCTTAGATCAATCCTCAATCTGCCTGCTGCAGGTTTTACTAACCCCTGCTCCTCTTTCTGGCCTCTGAGGCCAGGCCAAACAAAATAGAAGCCAGCCTTCAGGACTTGAAAATTACTATCATGTACCCCTTGTGATTTCTCTTCTATAAACTTAGAATCCTCAGTCATTTTAACAGGATAGGGTAAGTTTAGCTATCTATGCATTTTTAAAAGAAGTCTAAACCTTACAACCAACAAATTACCTTGAAAGCAGCATCATCTTGAGTTTACTTATTTTAAATCCAGCTTTATTTATCATATCGATTATCTCTCCAGCATGCGGTATTGCATCCGGTTTAAGTAATGCCAGAGTTCTATAAAAGAAATGAGGGACAATTCTCAAAAAGGAAATTTACCAGTCACGCGTAAAATGTACCCATAATCTTTGCTGTAATTCTAGATTATTACAATTTGAACATCAAAATTAATTTCACTCAGCAACATTTTAAAAGTACCTTTAAAAAATTCTCCATAGGCAAAGTTGCCAGGGTTTTTGAATACAAACAAAAAAATACCTATTAAGGAAATATTTATATGTTTAAAAGTACTAAAGTTAAAACTATAAAACATTAGTGCTTGAAGAGTCTCCTTACTGCTTAAGATGGATTATATATTGTAGAACAGAAAGCTTATTAACTGCATCACGAACATGTCTTGCTTGTTTTAATGTATATGTAGCATATAGCTTTCACATGCCTGGTGCCACAATCACACCCCAGGAAAACCAGGCTGAGGGTAACTGACAGGCTTCAAACCTATCAGTGAGTTGGGGGTGTGTCTACCTGAAGCATGTGAAGGCTTCTCCTGGCAGAATGGATAGATGAGAACAATTTGTCCTAACCACCACCATGAAGGTGGATGAAGCAAGGCTGTGGAACGCCTAGAGCTTGGTTAGACATTGAAAACACCAAGTTCACCCACTGCAGCCCGGGCTACTGCCAGTCATTTTTGAGTTTTGTTTGTCTTGCCAGTGGACTTCAATGACTTCAGAAAAGACAGTGAGGCAGATGACTTTGTGCAACTGCCTCACTTCAATCCAATTCATAAGCAAGTTAAAACATCACCCATCATATAACGTGATGTCATTGGCCCTCTTCAAATACAAAGGATGAACTACAACAACTATGTAGCCAATTCACCATAGGTAAGGAAATTTTCATTTTAAATTGGATTGCTAAATGGCTTCATTAACTCTGCATTAACAAATACAGCTATTTCACAAAGAAACAAATGAGCTTATATCCAACACTCTTCATTTGTAGGCAGAGAGTAATCTACCAATATTTCACATTCTCCATCCTAATTAAAATATGACACTTCCTCCGATATCCTAGAAACACAGAACTGAGCACTAGAATTATGTCTAGAGAATAGACAAGGAAAGTGAGGCTCTGAAAGGTTAGGTGATTTGTCCAACCGCGAACCTCTAGTTAGCAGAAGAACCAAAACTAGAACTCAACTGCCTTGATCTGCACTGTAGTGTCTTTTCCACTCCACCATTTAATGAAAAGGGGAAAAGACAACTGAGATGTGGGCCTAACATTACAAAGCTTCAAAGCAAAATTGTCTTTTGGGAAAATTTATGCTGTCTTCAAGAGGGAACATCCTTGAAGTTTGTTTTTCCACTCTTTAAAAAAAGAAGATGTTCACTGAAACCAAACAATGATAAAATAGAAACAAGAAGCTAATTTTTCTTTTGTTTTGTTGTAAATCTCATTATGCCCACTGCACGATTCCTTAAAAGATTTTTTCTCCAGAAATTATTCATATGGCTGGTATAAAATATGATAAATTTCCTTACTGACTAAAAAGGAAGACAAAGAAGAATAAAATACACTCATTTAAGCTTTTCGATACATTAAATTATCATGTGACACCACAAGGAACATTATCCTTTGAAAATATTTGAGTTAGATCAGGATATATGGACAAAGTTGGTATATCAAGTTCTACAGCTTATGAACTTTTTTTCTTGTTTGTTTCCATGTTTATTACTAGATTTCTAAGAGCCAAAGAGAGAGAGGAGTAGATTTAAAAAAAAAAAGGTATCAAAAATGTATTTAAAGGAAAAAAAAGGTCCAATATTCATAGAAAATGTTTTTGTAGTAGTAAAGAGCTAGAATTTTTTTTGATCCTCATAAATTGAGGAATGACTAAACAAACTGCAATAAGAATACAAAAGATTATTACTATGTTTAAAGAAACAACTAACATTGAGAACACGGGAAGGTAAGAAACTGATTATACAATATGAATTAAGCAGAACCAGGAAAATAATATATGCAATGACTATAACAATGTAAATTAAAGAACAACAACAAAAATTGAAACTGAATCTTGTATAATTCAAATGACCAAGCTTGACTCCAAAGAAGAAAGATAAGAAAGAATCCACCTTCCTTCATTACAAAGGTGGGGGACTATGGATATGGAATAGAGATATATTGTTGGACCTGATCAAATGTTGGTTAGTTTTGTTGAATTTTTTTCTTCTTTATTCTCTGTCACAAGGACAGCTCTCTGGATGGAAAAGGAGTGTTATTTTGGAAAGTGAAGTAATATTTAAAAAAAAGTTATCAATTAAAACATAAAAAGTTTCTAAGTAACATAATCTGTTCCCTTTGTTTTCTTTGTTGGTTGTGAGAATGCCTCAACTACTTCTCTTTTGTTGAAAATACATCTTCTTTCATTGATGATTAGGCCCAAGTTTACAAGACGTTATTTTGGTTTTTATCTTGTAAGGCTTTACTTTCTAGAATATTGTTATTCCGTTTCTTCTATGTTTCTTATGACTTTGAAATAATCCTAGTTTATTGGTATTATTTTTCTTTCATATTTGAAAATCATTATCCTTGATGCTTGCAAAAAATTGTTAGTGACTGGAATTGTGAAATTTCACCATTACACACCTTAAAGTTTGAAGTAAGGGGTGTGTGTGTGTGTGTGTGTGTGTGTGTGTGTTTCCTGCAGCAAACTGTGGATTTGGCTAATCAATACTTTTAATTTTATATTCAAAATTTGGATAATTTTTAGTATTATTCTCCTACAATATGGTTTTGAGGCATTTTTTAATTGATAATGCTTTTCTGAGAGATTTCGTGTACTTAAGTTACATCTGCTTATCTTACCTTCAATGTCAGATGCTTTTCCAATTCAATCCAATAAATGTTTATTAAGCACCTACTATGTGCCAGGCACAGTGCTAAGCAGGGAGATACAAATTTTAAAAAGACAGTCCCTGCTCTTAAGGAGCTTACAATCTAATGGGAAAAACAACACACAAAAGCAGGCAGGAAAGCAAAGGGGCCAGCCAGGACAGCAGAGGTTACCTGACAAGAGCATCTTGTTCCATGGAGTTGAAACCAAGCAGAGCAGCAGATACAGAATGGAGTCGTGTTTTTGCTTTCAGAGAATTCATGTAAACTTTTAATATTGCTACCTTTTACTTCTCTTCTGGCAAATTTTCTTTCCCTTTGGTATCGTTTATGTTCCAGATGTGTTAGTCTATTTCTACTTCTTTGTAGAGATTCTCCATCATGAGTTTAATTTTTCCTGGTCTGCTTTCTTTTGTGTTGTTTTTTTTTTTAATTCTGAATTAAGACATCTGATTTCTAACCAAAATTATTCCTTATTTCTTCTATTAAAAGCTTGATAACTCTTTTTAACCCTTGTGCCAGTCTATAATCTCTAGGGATTCTGAAGGACTCTCTTTTTCATTAGAGGATGATAATTTTTGAGTGGGTTGAGGAATTCTAAGAGTAGTCATCATTGGTTCCTGACAAGTTAACAAGGAGGTCTGCACTGGAACTCCACAGGGATCTGTGCTTGGCTCTGTGCTATTTAAAATTTGTATTAATGCCTTAGATAAAAGCATAAATGCCATCCCAATCAAAATTGCCAATGACACAAAGCAAAGAAGGATAGCTAGGTTAGGATCTAAGTCTTGAAAGGCTAAAACCACTTGTCTAAATATATTATGAAATTTAATAGGGATAAATTGTAAAGTTTTATACTTGAATTAAAAAATCAACTGTATAAATACAATTTGGGAGATGCTTGGTTAGATGATGGCTTGTCTGAAAAAGAGGTAGGTACCTAGTTGGCTACAAACTCAGTATGAGTCAATGGTCTCATACGGCATCCAAAAAATGTAATGTGGGGCTACATTAAGAGACATGCAACTTCCAAGAATAAGGAGATACTAGCACTGCTATATTCTGCCCCAGGAAGGTCACATCTGGTATATTATATGTAAGACAAAGTACCAGAGCTTAGGAAGGGTATTGATTAAGTGGCAAGCTGCCAGAGAAAAGCAGCCAGAATGGTGAAAGGTCTCAACTCCATGCCACATAAGGATCAAATGAAAGCACTAAGGATGTTTGGCCTAGAAAACAGAAGACAGTTATTTGTCAATAGCCATTTTCCAACATATAAAGGCTTGTTGTGTGCAAAGTTGCAAACAGGAAAATTTCCTAATAACTGTCTTCACTCAAAGGCAGTACAACAATTATCAATTATGCTGTAGTAAGAATTCCTTTTTGGTTATGGGTTGACTAGTTAAGTGCCAAAATCCTTTAAACCTTGAAATGCTATGACATTGATATCTATCAAAAGTTCTTGGACCCTCCTTCAATAGCTATGGTAATAGGCAAAGTCAAACTTCCCTACTATCTGTATCCAACCTTCAAATCTGGCTCTCTGAAATTATTAAAAAGAAAAGAAAAGACAAAATTCACTATGACATAGCATTGGTGTAGAAGAGTATATGGCAGAGAAGATGAAAGAGAAAACAAGCAAGGTTGAAGTGCCTTTGCAATTGTTCTACAATCACACCAGAAGGGCTCTGTGTAACACACAGATGTTTGTTACCTTAGGAAATCTTTCTCCAACAATCCAGGTACTTGTATTTTTATTGATAATTATGCCTTTTGATTTCTTGATATACTCTTATCTTTTTTAATTTTTAAAATTATTTTTCTCTACTAGCCAATAACATTGGGTAAATACATAAGGTATAGATAAACAACTTGGATAGGAAATAAAAGTTAATCAAGCTGGACAAAAGGTTTATTGTCAACGACATTATTCCCAAAGTTAATATATTGAAGCACTGAGGAACCAGAACAAGGAAGATGGAGGTGAGGGTTTGGAAAAACTTGAAAATAATCTTTTTGTACAAACATCGAAACAATGGTACCCATAAATAAGCAGCAAAGTTCATTAAAACGTGCAATGTTCTGAAGAGGAAATACCCTAAATATATTGCATTTTTTCATTTTCTTTATAGGAGATGACACTAGACAAGGACTTTTCTGCCTAAGTTTTAGCTAAGGTTGGCTACAATCAGGAGGGTTAGGGCGACATAAAGTAATAGTCACCTCATCACTCTGGCCCTCAGTATTCCCATCTGAAAAAATGAAATGAGATTAGTTATCTCAAAGGTACCTTTTGAGCTCTAAATCCTAAATTCCTCTGAAGTTGTTCCCTTTTCTCTTAAAAATTGAAAAAAAAAATTGCCTAAAATCACTTTCTTAAACTGATTGGAAAGGTAGAATCACAGAATCTGCACTATGAATTTCTGAAAAAGTCCACAAAAGTGCTCCTGAAAGGAATTAATCACTATAATTCAGAAACACCAAACAGAAGTAGGAGAAATTAGAACTAAATTCCCAAGTTCTTAAGGGGCTTTTAAGAATTACAAAGAAATGCATAGTTATTTTCTTACTTTTCTTTTCTATTGCACAACTGGCGGGCTGTGTATTGATCGCCATAGTCGATCAGATGCAGCTGTCGGGAAAAGATAGTCACTTTGTTGCCAATAAACAAATCTTGTAGACACACACTCTCATACACAGTTCGCTTCAGAAAGATGCGATGATTCTTTACGTCATGCTGTGATTAAAAAAAATGTATTTAGTAAATAGTAAATGTCATATAACAAGGCAGTTAAATTCTTAAATCTGTTTTCTCTGAGAAAGGCTATCTGTTTTTGCTTAAATCATAAAATCCAGTTAGAATATGTTACTGTTCCTACTCAAGTCTCTTAGCTGAAGTGTTTTTCTATTTAATTTTCTAAAGGCATGAAACTTTTCAATAGTATAGAAATGTTTCTTCTAGAAATAATTATTTGTGGAGAATTCAACCTTTTAATCATACCAACTGTTTTCTAATGAAATAAAACTCTTTTTTGCTGTTGCTGTTGTTTAATATAGGTATACCCTCCCTGCCTAAATAGACACACACATACACACACACACACTTGATGTCATTAACTAGTTCTGTGAAAACAAAACTTTAAGCGAAAAAAAAAAAACAACTATCATGGGGACAATTAGTTCCCTTGGAACAATATTATAAATGGAGAATCAGCGAAAGGAAACTTCAAGAGCTTGGTGTGTAGGAATTCTGACATGTTTGTGAGGTTAGAGGATTTGGTTAGAAGCCACAAAGAAGCTGGACTCTGAGTCAAGAAGACCTGAGTTCAAATTCTGCCTCAAGTAGGTACTCTGGCTGGGTGACCCTGGGCAAGTCATGGCTTTTTGCTTTTCTTTGTGTCCTCAGACTTTAGTAGAGTTTAATGACAGACATTTAGCAAAGGCTTATTGACTTATTGACTAGACTTGATCTTCGTCAGCCTCATTTGCCTCACATACAAATGTAGGCATAATATAAAAATACCTGCCCTACAGGGCTGTTGTAAAGACCAAACAAGATCCTCTTTGTAAAGCACTTTGCTAGTTTTTATTATTATATAAATTGAGGATATTATTGAGGGACTATGATGTTGGGGCAACATTATATTATTGTATACTTACTTTTTTAAAAACTTGACTCTGTATAAGTGGAGTTTTCTATATGTAGTTTTCATTTCACAGAAAATTTAATAGATTAATATATACAATTATACATTAATTGTTCTGTTCTACTATAAGCAAAGAAAAGATACATTTACCATTTCAACAGATCCATCCACTGGGTAATATAAAAGGTCATAACGTCGCAGAAGGGAAGCATTTGGGTCATACCATTCTGCCACAAAAACATATCGTTCATCAAGATTCTGAAAAAGAATGATTTAAGAATTTTAATATTCACCTTAAAAAGGGCTATTGTTTACTACATCACATGGAACACAATCAAGTGGAAAATGTTTTCAAAACACAAGTTAAAAAGCCCACTGATCAGTCTAGAGGGAGATGATCTTTCTCTCCTTGGAACACAGCATATTGTGTGTGTGTGTGTGTGTGTGTGTGTGTGTGTGCATGTGTGTGTAATTATGGCACTTCACCTACAGGTGGACTCAATGCCTGAAAACTGCCTTTACTGGATTCTGTGTGTGTGGATAGATACAGAGATATAGATATAGATCTTATGTGTATGTATATATGTTTGTATATGTATATATATATGTATACATACATATATGTGTGTGTGTATATGTATATGTACATGTACATGTGCATATATATGAAATGACAACAGTCATGGTAGGTAGAACATGATAGGTAATTACCTTGCCCTCTGAGCTTAGATTATACACTCATACACGTGTGTGTATGTATATATGTGTATATAGTAAAAAGTTATCTTGATATTATGGATTTTATAGAAAATTAATAGAAAGGATAAGGAGAGAATTTGGAACTAAAAATTAAATTTAATGATTTAAAAACAAAAATTAATATTAAGAATATGTGCACTATTATTTTCCTTTATGTTACTGTCTTACCTTATTTCAACATGATTTTTAGCTGTGTACATAGAGAGGAGAAAATTTAGGAAGTAGGTGTTGCAGTAAATATAGTGTGGATCAGAGGTCAGGAAGAACTAATTTGAATGCCTCAGACACTTACCAGCTATGTGACCCTGAACGAGTCACTTAATCTCTCTCTACCTCAGTTTCCTCAACTATAAAATAGGGATAATAACAGCACTTATATCCCAGGGTTGTTGTGAAGATAAAATGAAATAATATTAATAAAAGTACTTTGCAAACCTTAGTGCTATACAAATACCAGCTATTACTATAACTATTACTAGAAACATGATCACTGTCTTCAAATATTTAAAAAGTTACCATGTTGATCAGCCAGTCACACAGATTCACCAAGAGAAAAATAAATGATGACCAGCTTGCATGTCCCAATGGTAACCATGAAATGCCAAGAACAAAACAGGAAACTCCCCTAAGCCCTATCCCACCCTTGCCACCTGTATGCTGGATGGATATTCTTTGGCAGACTTATGGGAGGCCACAGATAACTCCAGGACTGCCCATTACACATGGGTCACAATATGCATTGCTAAAGAGAATGCTCACATCTAGAAGATCACAGCTGAACTGGAGTATTGAAAGATCATGTGTAAGAGAAATCATTCTACCTGGTCCCAGAAGATAGAAATAGGACCAGAGGGCAAAAGTTATAAAAAGAAAAGAGATTTTGGTTTAATATAAGAGAAAAAAGGTGCTAAGAAGACAAATAAAACACGGAGGAGGAGCTCGGCCACACAGAAGGATAGTCTCACTCCTGAAGGAGTTTCACAGCCACAGAACTTCATGGAACGACTTGAATCCCCGGGCATGTCTTACAAGTGCAACTTGAATACCCTCATGCTCTTCCCTGGCACCATTTTCCTTCTCCACCCAGTAGCAGCAGCAGATCAATGATTATGTACCTTCATCTCCAGGCTACACCCAGGGTACAGGGAACACCCAGGTAATCCAAAAGTAAATATGCAGAACTCCTAGCCACAATCAGAGTAGGGGAAAAGATCAGACTCATATCAACATGGAGCAAAAGCATCAGAGAGACTCAAGTGAAGCATCATTCATGCTCAAGATTTAGTCTGGGAACACTCAGCCAAGATGGAAAGAAATGTATGGTCTCAGCCTCCCATTTCATTTCCCAGTTTTCCATTTCTTTGGGAAGAAGAAAGAATATCTATCACTCATACCTCTGATGACTTTCAAAACATTCATATGAATCCCTTCTTTTGAATCAGTTTTAGGATCTTTTTCCTCTTCTTCCTTTCTCTACCCCAAACACAGTCTAAAAAGATGATTTGCAGTTGATTAGGATTTGCATTTTAACTAATTAACAATGACCTATATTAGTTTTTTAAAGTATTAAGACAAGATCTGAAAGGTCCATTTTGTGGCTGCAAATTCTAGTGTACTTGTCCACTAAGCTGCCATGCCTTTGATTTTCTTCTAATATATTTAGCATCACCAAAATCATTCTTGGCCCCTTTTTGAGAAGTTCCAGCAGCTCTAAGGATTTTCTTTTTCATGAGTTACTTGGCAGTCTGGTATCTCCCAATTGGTCACATTTATGCTATCAGACTTTGTAATTCTAAGAAATTGGGAAAGATTTCTCATAGGAGATAGCCACTAAGCAATTTTTTGAAGGAAGTCAGAAATTCTACAAGATAAGTATAAATAAATGTGTGTATATACATAACCATGCATATGTGTTTTGCATATGTAAACTCACACATTTGTATTTATGTATATAAATTTGTATATAAAATCACTTGTAGAATATATATATGAGAAAAATGATTATTTGTCTCTTATATTAATAACCAATTACTATTGGAGAGAGCTAGGATTTTTTCCTTTCCTATTTACTCATTCTGTACTAAGTCAAATTAGCCCCTGAAAAATAGGGGTGATAATGAGATTGGATTTAACATTCTCCTTAATCTTGTTCAGACTCCACACAATTGGGGAAGTCCATTGTGTTCTACAGGCTTGGGTAGAGGTATATCCTTTGTGTAGATTGTCTGGGTCTGGGAGTGGTCTGGGAATAAGAATGACATAATCAAAGACATATTTCCCAGCACTTCATTAGAATAGATCCGCCTCTTATTATAATATTCATCCTTCTCATTAATTGTTAACCAATCACAGTTGGTTGCCATCTGGGGGAAGGGGGAACGTTCACTCTTCCAAGGGCATATAAGCGTCAATAGGCTGCCATGATCCATTTTTGGTTTACAAGAGACAGCAAATGATCATCCTTTTATTAATTATTTGCTAGCCACAATTAATAAAATTATCAATTACCCAGAAATTGTCTCTCAAACTTTTTATACCTCACACATATATACATTTGTGTGTGTGTGTATATATATATATACACACACACATATAGATACACACTTTTGATATATATACCTTTGTACTTATTCATATAAATACAAAGATATGTGTGTGTGTTTGTGTGTGTGCACATGTGCTCATGCTTTGTCGGGGGCGTTGTATGTATGGGGATACATACACAAAAGTATATATGCAGATCTACGAGTGTGGAGGAAGGAATATATACCAAATATGGAGGACCACTCACACAAAGGTAACAAGACACAGAAAACGGAACATTTAAACCCTGTCTTTGGGGGTAAAGAGAGTAATGTTCAAAATTAGTTTTAAAATGTTTGTTAGAAGGTTTGTAACTTTTATTATCACAGTCTTATCAAGAAAGATGTGTTAAGCATCAACGATGTGCTAGGCCTAAAAAAGAAAGGCATATTCAACAAGCATCAAACCCAGTGGAATTATACAACTGAACTACCAAGATCTTTCAAAGAACAATCAGTTTTAAGAAAGCTCCTATCAACAAAGCCAAACAGTAAAGTCTTAAAAATACCACAAAAGCCACAAAGGTGAGATGAGTCATCTTCATTAAATGCAAAGAGAACTTTCACACAAAGAGTCCCTTTTAAAGGGAAGTAAGCAGATCCTGACCGAGTTGCTGCCCAGCTTTTAAGCATGATCAGTTTGTCTTCAGATTGGAAGGTGAGTCATGGGTGTGATACTCAGTAGGGGCGTGCCACATTTTTTTTCTTTAGTGCAATTTTGAAGCATAAAAGAGAGAAAGAAAGATTGCAGGAGAAAAAGAGAGATGCAGGTATGGAGGTCTGGCTACCCTGAAAAGATCAGATGGATGCTGCAGGAAGCTAGTTCTAGGCAGGCACACTGGTGCATCTGGGAGGCGAGAATGATGACTCACTCTGACATGACTAGAAGCTAGATGAAAACGTCGGCAAGGGGCTTTCAATACAAATTCTATAAAGTCCAGAAGCTTTTCTATGTATCTGCTGCTCTGCAGGGCCTCAAATCAGAATCTTAAGCAAACATAGCCTGGGGAGAAATGTGTTTTGGAAGGATTCAAAGTAGATTTGCAGAGCAAAATTATATTTCACTTGTCATAGGGCGGGAAATTTTTGATCAATATTAATACATTCTCCTCATTTTACATATGAAGAATCTAAGAAAATAAGTGACCTCACTTGGCTCACTGGGCTACTTACTGGCAAAGACCAGACAAAACCCAAGTTTACTGCCTCCTAATCCAGTCATCTTTCCATTATGTCACTCTCACTGTCTCTCAAGTTGAGTTGTGATTCAATAACTGTAATGCCAAAGTGTGGCTAAACCAATTATACCCAGGAATTTTAAACCTTTATATTTTGATTCAGTTATTTCTATTTAACACTAATGAGTAAACAATGATAATTCCCATTTACATAGGGTGTTAGAGCACTTTGCCTATGATAAACCTATGAGGTAGTTAGTATGAATGTCATTATTCTCATTTTCCAGAGGTACTGCTGAATCAATATTCATATAGCTGTTTTGAAAGGTTTTCAAGCTTACCTGCCTGCTGATAACCAAAGATTATTACAGACTGAGGCTGATTTGCCAAGGCATCTCTCCCCCTACCCCCCATACACATCAAACACTTAAATAAGAACCACATTGCAGTCTCAGTGGGAAATAACCAGCCTCTAGGTAGACGGTATGCCTTATACATCCAACCTATTTCAATGACGAGAATGTGGCACAGGAGCTTACAAAGCAGATGTCAAAATGAAAACTATAATTATTTTATACTTTTTCTTCATCAAATGGTTACTCTAATTTTGCAATGAAGTATTTTTATAACATATCTTAAGGATTTCAGAGCACAGTTCTTCAACTGATCACAAAGGCTCCAAAGTACATATCTTAACTTTGGATTTGCTTCATCCTATACACCAGATCTGTTTAAAAAT